ATAGTGTGTTGGTAGACCAGCTTGAATATATATAAACTGATTAAAAGTGTCCATTAAAATTTTCACAAGAATGGATACTGAACAAAGTCCCACAATTGTGGAACTTTCTGTCAACTGACAACATGTAAAATTTGCAAGCTGTAAGCAGCTGATGAGAAGCCAACGAAATAAATGATGGTACCATGTTATCCTGCACAAACCACTGTTGTTTTCGCTTTATTCAAGTTATATATACATTATAGTGAATAAATGAATTAGTGTTATGAACAACATTAATGTTTAAATAACATCGAATCAATAATATCAATGGATTACAGCTCAATAGCATCAACATAATGTAAGCTGAATGTCAGAAAAATTAGGAAAGATAGTATTAGAAATTCATGAATTTATATTCTCTACTGAAGGCCAGGGCAGTAGTAGGGGCTGAACTTGCTTCTTTTGATCACAGAGCACTGGTTATCTGAGGCGAATTGCAATAGCTTCTGCTATTTGGTGGAATATGCGGTGCTTCGATGATTTTGGCAATTTATTAGGCACCCGGTGGATTGTAGAGGAGTTTTCCACGTTGGCTTTGTGGCCGGTTCACACCAGATGATACAATATCGAACTGTTAATCGTTTTCACCGCACCTTTACTTGGCCATAGTGGGAGATGTTCTCGAGTGAGGACGAAAAATCAAGTTCCTAGAACAACGGCCAATATAACTCGCTCCACAAACGCAGTTGAATTGGTAGGTACAGTTTGAAGTGGCTAGTCTAGATACTTCATCTTTCAGTCGAGGTAGCACCATCGGTCGTGTAGGGAATAAGACGTGTATTTCGCCAGCATTAAAAGTTCTTTGAACTGATTTTCTTAATTTCCTCGTAATTATCTCACTTGGTATACCACCCTTGAATTGCAGTCGTATATAAAGAGGTTTTTTTTACAGATAGTGAGTAGTCGTTTTCCGTTTTCTTTGTCATGTGTTTCTTGATAAATTTTCGGGATAGTATCAAAGTATCATATAAAATCCTTAATTCATCTTCAATTGCTTCTTCTGAGCATATAGCTCTAACTATGTGGCTGAGGTTCTCTACTAAATTTCTTTTGTATTTGATAGGAACGAATCTGTGAAAATGTGTATATTGTCCTATCCATGTACTTTCCCTATTCAAATTTCTTTTTATGCTTCCATATGGTTTTCTTGTAAGGAGGACATCCAGGAAGGAAATTCTGCTTTGTGATTCCTCTTCGCATGTGAATTTCACAGCTGAATTTTCTTCATTGAATTCAGTAATTATTGTACTCCTATCCGAGTCATTATCACAGAGAATGGAGGTGTCATCCAAATACCGGCAATAAAATGAGAACTTACTTGTAAGGTTGTTCAAAGGTTCATTTTCTAGCTTACTTAGAAAGAAATCAGCCTGAATGGGACCCAATGGGGAGCCCATCGCCAGCCCGTCCACCCGCCTGAAATTTACATTCATGGTACACCTTAACAATTTTTTTAGGATTTTAAAAGTCCAGCCCCTACTACTGCCCTGGCCTTCAGTAGAGAATATGAATTCATGAATTTCTAATACTATCTTTCCTAATTTTTCTGACATTCAGCTTACATTATGTTGATGCTATTGAGCTGTAATCCATTGATATTATTGATTCGATGTTATTTAAACATTAATGTTGTTCATAACACTAATTCATTTATTCACTATAATGTATATATAACTGTAAAGCCTGATGATGAAGTTATCGAAGAGTATTCTTTGTTCAGTATCCATTCTTTCGAAAGTACATAAATTACTTCAACTTACTGATTAATAGAAGTAGATTGTATTCAATTCCTGCTCGTTTCGCGTTAGTGTTATGGTTCAGGTGCATCTGGAACAGACTATTCATTTGTCAGGCGACCAGCTGCATTTATCACATGAAGTCACTAATGGGGATTCGAATCTTCGACTTATTGTCTGGAAGTAGAGGTTCTTTTTGAAATCAATGAGCTACATTTCCTTATTTGTTTATTTAGTGGCGTCTTTCTTGCATATTACTTCAATGGATTTTATTTCTAAAATTATGGAATACAGTTTATTGAGCTAATGTAAATGCTGAAAATATCGGAGTACATTGTGATAGTTGTTTTCTTTTTGAATTAGTTGTGTTCTCGGAACTGGTTGGTTTAATTGCGGAGCTTTCGTTGTCTTTCTAGACATCTTCAGGGCAGCTTTTAAGTATGGAATGAACTTATTTGAATTATCCATAAGTGATTTAATTGTATCTCCTGACAACTATCTTCGTGAGTGGTGGGCAATTTACATCTGTAGTGATCACTTTCATTCACTTGGAATTTGAACTTTCTTGTCACATGTGATTTACTTTTTAATATTTGGTAAAATTGGTCTATAGTAATGTGTTTGTTAATCACTGGCTGATTCGCCTGACTACCAGGCTCTAGAAGTTCCCTGCAATTTTTGGTGCTTCGTGTGTTTAAAATTTCTACATCATCGCAATCAAATTGGTGTTCATAGTTGTCCACATATGAAAGAACATATATCATGTCCCTTTACAGCTAATTTGTGTTCCTGGATTTGGATTCGAAGGGGACGTCCACTCTGACCTATATACTCTTTATTGTCGTCCATACAATTTATTTTGTAAATGGTATGAATTTTATCTTCGTTTTCCTGTTGGATCTTTCGGTTTGTACAATATCAAATGGGGTGATTGGGCTGGCTTGTGTGTTATATCTGTTTCGAACGGTCAGTATTCTAGCTGTTATTTCAGAAATATTTTTTATATGTGGTAGGATGAATTTTCTTGTAGTCTTTGATGATGATAATAATTTACTTTATTCCGAAACAGTACTTGTGATACAGAATGGAATTCTCAGCATTTTATTACAGTATTGCATGCAGTTTCTTGTTAGTGTTATGATTCGAGTCTAAACACTGGTGAAATTGTCAGGATATCTATTCTTTTTGAAGATGTTAGTAGGTACTTTTCCTCCATTCTTTTTAATACAGAAGTGCTACATTATGTTTGAACTCTTTTATTAAACGATGTCTATAAGTTTTTTTTGTGAGTAATTGGGTTATTACTGCTATAATAGTAATGAGTTCATTTTATGCTAAAACTTGCACTAAAGACGTTGTTCAGAAGGATGACGAAAGCTACGCAGTTAAACCAACCAGTTCAGAGAAAACAGTTAATTCAAAATCATCCATTGGAGTTACAAATCTTCTCTATTAGTTGTTTTCTTGCCTAACTGTGTCTTTTTATAATTTTTTTTAATGTTTCACTAAAGCACTTTTTGAGATATGCTGCATTTCACTCATATAAAGCATGAACTATCTAGCATCTGTTAAGTTAGGAACTGGAATGTTTATAGATGGATGAAGTTACTTTTCATCCCTCAACTTACTTGTAAAGTACATGAACTGGTCACTATATACATGTCAGCCTGTTCACCCCTGTTATATTTTATTTTTATTTTGATTATAGCTTGATTCCACACCGTATTTTGGTACATGTATGGAATTTTCAGCATGTGATATCGGTAGCCCAAATATTGCAAGCCGATCATAGATATCAGGTGTGCGTTGGCAGGGGATCGAACCCCGGACCATGTACGTTGTGGGCGAGAGTCCTTACCACTGTGCCGCTGAAGCACAATCTAGATATTAGTCGAGGTTTATCAGTGTTATTAGTAAACTGCACATGATACAGTCATTATGTGTTAGATTGTTAGGAAGTCTTGTTTGACACATGTTTTGCTCCTGTTGATACTTGTGCGTCGGTGGCACAGTGGTTAGGACTCTCGCTGACCATGCACATGGTCCGGGGTTCGAGCCCTCGCCGACGCACACTTGATATCTATGGTCGGCCTGCAAAATTTGGGCTACCGATATCCACGCTGAAAATTCCATACTTGTACCAAAAATACGGTGTGGAATCAAGCTGTAATCAAAAATATAAATAAATAAATAAAATAAATAAATAAAGGTTTGTCCGTTATATTAATGGGATTTATATTGTTTCTAAAATTGTTTAACCTGAAGCATTCAGTGAAACAAAGTCGGAGACTTCATCGTTGGTTGCTGGCTAGAGGACGAAGTTTTAAGGGGAAGCCGTGACCAGCGATATAGTTCAGCAAGTTGGGAGTGATTACAGATACTGTAACAATAAAAGGCAAGAGTCGAAATACAGATCGTTTATTAAGAAAATCAACACATTTATAGATTTTCATGTACATTATTATAGATTATTAGCTGACAAGCACAGTTTTCTGATTGGTTGTTTCTCACTGAAAGTTAATCTTTCATCTCTTTGTGGCTGCTTCTTGAGTGGCAGATCATCTATCTGCTAATTATATCCGCCTACGCAAAGTCTGCTGTCAGTCTGATCTTGTTTTCATATGACTAATATTTGGGACATAAACATTGACGTCAATCACCGTCTACCAATCTGTCTAGCAGCCATCTCTCACCACAATACTCACCAGTGTAATTGTTTAGCGATCGTACTACGCATCGCAAATTGACGGAAGTTGTAGTTAATTGACTGAACATCGGATGCTGTTCCAGTGGCTGAATGGTGTACCAGTTGGCCTTGTAACCTGAAGGTTCTTGTTCCAAACCCTTGTGGTGGGTTGGTGCGTACTGATGAAGAGTTCCAAACAAGGACAAAGCGACTGTCTATTACTCCCTGCTGGTTTTCAGTGGATCTCTTACTCAAATCAATCCGTGTTCAAACATGAAAACTATTTGAGTCGCCACTCATAAAGTAGTTTTTATCTTACCATACGGTTAATCGTAATAATGGCTAGTGTCTTCCGCTTATTGTCATGATGTGGTATAGCTGTTTTTCGTACTGTGTAGCGCTATCAATCACTGTGTAATTATCCTAATACGGATTATATACATATATGTATGTATCTCGAGACTTCAGATATATTTTGGTGTTTAATCTGTTTTCGTTGTTGTTTCCTTTTTTCTTTGCTAAACAAAACCTCAATATAGCATCGATTAGCCGGGTGTTTAGTACCAGCACCACTGGCTGAGGATTTAGTGAGTGATTTTGTCAATGGGCACTTAAGCTGGAGCTCACCGCTTGTTATCTATCTACGTAATGTGACGTGAGTTTGATTCTTAAGTTTATTTTATTCTATCTTCTCGTCAACTGTGTTATACAGTTATTTTATTACTATTAATGACTCTACTTGAAGTGTCATCAGAAGCATTTTCGACGGCCTGCCGTAAACTTTTATCAACAACTACTTTTTTTCCATACTGAAAATCAGGTGGCTTGTCACAAGGAATGAGCAACAGAAAGCTTTGACAGACAGCAAATCAATAGACAAGAACCTCTTACTTCACAAAAATGGAGAAGGAGATGAAGATGGGCTGGCTGGCCACACGCCAAGGAGACTGTTGATTAACGTCATTCAACATGCCATCTCTCGAGTGGAACCTGAGTCGAGCGTCGATCCGAGGGTGACATATAGGAGATAGTGTGAGGAGGAGATGAAACCCTATGAGCAACCGTGAAGCCAGCCAGCAAGAGGACTGCAGAGGAATCAGTAAAATGGAGAGGTTCTGTTGAAGCCCTATAGTTTCACTCGGAACCCAAGGCAATAATAATAATAATAATAATAATAATAATAATTGATCACTGAAGTGTTGGGTTGTAGGGATTTGATTGGTTTACAGGATTTCATCATGATCTGACATCAGTTAGAGAACCATTGGAAGACATGGAAGTACTGGACAGCTGTTTCGTCCTAGTTTTGGGATTCTTCAGCAGTACGCACCCACCAGGGTTCGAACCCAGGACCTTCTGGTTACAAGGCGAGCTCGTATACCATTAAGCCAATGGGACCCGATCCAATGGCCCATGAATTCTAACTTCTGCCAATTCACGGCATAGCGCGACCCCTAGCAATCGGATCGGTTCCCATTGGCTCAATGGTATACGAGCTCGCCTTGTAACCAGGTCCTGGGTTCGAATCCCGCTGGGTGTGTTCCGCTGAAGAGTCCCAAACTAGGACGAAACAGCTGTCCAGTACTTCCAGCTCTTCCAATGGTTCTCTAACCAATGTCAGCCCATGGTGAAATCCTGTAAATAATTGATCATTTTATTATTATTATTGTTAAGTCATCAATTGTATGTCGCGAGTTCCACAAGAAAATTAATTATGCAATAAAGTTTGATCTCGCGCCATACTGGATATCGGCTTAATTATACAATCAGCAGGTCAGTCACAATTTAAAACGCTCTCTGGTAATATTTCTGACTGTAACGGGGGTGACGTTGGTCTGTCTTAGGTGCAGCATATGTAAATATGCACAAAACCTAAGTCCGAGTAGTATCCGTTTAAGTGACTTCAATATGCAGTATGAAAGTTCAGTTCAAAACACTGTCATTTTACTGTAAAGTAACTGCCTTTGTCTTGTTTGCTGCTTATTTCACTTATAGTTTTCTCAGTGCTGAATTAATTGGTTTATCAAATTTAAGTGCAACTTTATCGTCATTATCAAAATCGACAGACACAAATTATGAATTGATATGTCAACAATTTGTTTCTTTCATCAATGATATATTCACTTGTTTTGATCATTTGGCTCAGTCGGAATCATGTTATCGTGTGCGATTGAATGCTAATGAATATTTATGTATTGCTGGTTATCCAGAGACACGTGTGGATCATGCAAGATCATGTATTGATTTAGGATTGAATATGCTGAAGATTATCAGGTAAGCTGTGGTGTTGTCTCTTTTGATGATTATATCTATTAAACATTTCTGACTATTTGTTACTGCTGGTGTGATGATTCTAAATGGTTCATTTCCACGAAATACTTCTGTTCTGGTTTTTGTCCCACTCTTTCCTTCTGCATAGCTGGGAGACATCACCTTTGAAAGTTGAAGACATAATGAGGCTAGCTGTCTTTCACCATAGGTTCTGTCTGCCATGGACATGTCTGCCATGTTAAGGGGAATAATGTGTTGAGTAATACTGAGATTAGGTGTCGAGTGTTATGTAAGGAAGCGAAGTTATTTAATAACGTTGTTAGGCTGCAATGATTGAGGTGGCTAGGACACGTATTATGCATCTTAAGCCGTTTCCTTCTTCGTCAGGCAGTATTATCTGACAAGATTCGAGTGGTAAAGAGATATCGGTGATCAAATGCAAACTTGTTATCGGTTCATGAAGTCTCTGACTATTGGTTTGAACCTCACATTGAAGGGTGAGATTGTTTGGTTGGAGTCCTTATGATTCTGGAAACCAACAGCTTGGTGACATGGCTCAAAATAGTACTCAATAGATCATAAGCATCAACCATGTGTGGTCTCCTAGATCTGTTAAATTCTCATTATTTTCTAAATGATCATTTTTTCTCCCATGCATTACCATTTATTATAGTTCATTTGAATTTTTTTATCTACGTTTGTGTGCCATATGGAAAGTGGCGACTTGAACTGTGCAAAGTTGTACTCTGAAAACTCAGTCGGTCAGGTCCTTATGTGTGTACTGTGTTTTATCAAATGACTTAATTCTTTTCATTACGACTAGAATAATTATGAAGCTTCATGACTAACTTTTTCGTCTTGACTACTTCTGGTTGAAAAAACGGGTATTTTCTTTTAAACCTCTGTCAAACTACGCTGAAGATGTTGTCTAAAAGGACACTGAAAGCTTCGCGATTACATCAATCAGCTCAGAGAACACAGAAAAATCAAAATGTTCAGTCAGAACTGTTTCACAGAATGTCTAAAGTTTTTTTTAGTTTAATAATTAGCTAAATATCCTTGCTAATGTGAAACGTAATGCTGGTTGCTGAATATCGAAGTCGCCTTTTGTATTAGTGTTAAGATTTTATCAAATATCTCTTAGTTGGTGAAACGGTTAGCACCGATTCACTAGACTTGGTTTGCCTAAATCCACACATTCATGTGACAATTACTCCGTTTTATATTGTATATCACTATCATTGCTATTACTAACTTCTGAACACATTTTTTGTGTTTGTGTGTGTTTGGTTCGTTTGAAGTGGATGAAGAAAGGGGTAATCATAATGTCTATACAAAAAATTGAATGACTTTAACATACAGTCATAAACTATTACCCGACATACACCATCTAAACAATGTCTGTGTAAAGGTCATAAGCTCAAGCATATCCGCATGCACGTACACACACATACATACTTATGCTCAAACGAACTTGATTGATAATTCATTTAATGCACTGAATGTTTTGAGTTATTTGTATTATTCGATAAACACTGAACATTTATGCATAGAAGGCTAATACTGTGAGCATAACTACTGACATTAAAATACTAATGGGTGACATGAACGCCAAACTGGGACTAGACAACACAGGAAGACAAATTATCATGGGTGGAGAAGCTCTCGCAGAAATGGATGAAAATGGAGAACTTTTCACTGACTTCTGCGCCTTCAATGAACTGGTGATTGGTAGCAGCGTATACAAGCACAAGGATATCCACAAGGCCACATGTGTGTTATCAGACGAGCGAACCAAAAACCAAATTGACTTCATTTCAACACTGCTCAAGGAAGTGAAGACGCAGCCTACTGGACACATAAGTAAGAAGAGGAGCAGACGTTGGCTCATACCACTATCTCGTACAAGAAACACTCCAAATCAAATTAAAAGGTTTCAAAGAAACAGAAGCTGCAGATAGACCACAAGCCGAATTCAATACTCAAAAGCTGAAGGATCAGGCCACAAAGGACGTCTTCACTGCAATCATAAGGAGAAAGACGGGGACATAAACCAACACTAGCGAAGCGACCAGCGTTGAAGAGCGCAGGAACAGCCTGAAGGCAGTGTAGTGTCAAACCTGCAAGGAATTTCTAAGCAGAAAGAGGAAACAGGACAAACAGTAGCTCATTACGGGCACACGGAGACTAATATAAGAGAGAAGTATGGTGAAACAAAAGATTATCCAGTGCACCGACGACCAACAAAAACAGGATTTGAATGCAAGTTACAATACACTGAACAAAAGAGTAAAGAAGAGTGCCAGGGAAGACAAAAGAAAGTACTATGAAGCTATGGCAAGTGAAGCAGAACAAGCTGAAGGCAAAGGAAATCTCGCCACACTCTACTAAACAACTAGGCACATATCGGGGAAAAGTTCAACACAAAGTGAGCCAGTGAAAGATGACAGTGGAAAGTCAGTCACCAAAGAGGTGGAGCAAAGAAAACACTGGGCTGAACACTTCAAAAGACTTCTAAATCGACCGCCACCTACAGCGCGCCCAATAATACCATCAACGGAGGCGGAACTACCAGTAAACATCAACCCCCCGACGAGAACAGAAGTCCTGAAGGCAATCAAGATGCTGAAGGCTGGAAAAGCAGCAGGACCAGATGAAATCCCAGCAGAAGCATTGAAAATGGGCTCAGAGACAGCAGCAGGCTTGATGATGCCATTACTGGAGAAGGTGTGGAAAGAGGGCAAAGTACGGGAGGATTAGAAGAAAGAATACTTATTCAAACTGCCAAAGAAAGGAGACTTAAGTCGATGCAAAAACTGGCGTGGAATTATGCTCCTGTCCATCCTAAGCAAAATACTAAGCCGCATCATCCTGGAGAGAATCAAACAAGCCCTGGATGAAAAGCTTCGATCGGAACAAGCTGGTTTCAGGAGAAGGAAGTCATACATCAATTCAATCGCCACACTACGGATCATCATTGAACAAAGCTTGGAATGACAGTCACCTCTCTATCGCAACTGCATTGACTTTGAAAAGGCCTTCGACAGCGTCAATCGAGAGGTGATTTGGCAACTACTTCGCTACTACAGGGTGTCACCGACAATTATACATCTCATCCAACAGTTGTACGACAACGCTGCATGCCAAGTAATCTACAACGGGGAACTTAAGGAATCTTTCGAAGTGAGGACGGGAGTACGATAAGCTGGCTGCCTACTATCGCTAATGATTTTCCTGATTGCAGTAGATTGGATAATGCAACAGGGAACAATAATGCAATAAGGGAACAGGCATAAAATGGACTCACACAAAAAACTTTTAGGATCTGGACTTCGCCGATGATATATGTCTGGTTTCGCACAAACTGGGAGATACTCGAGTGAAAAGCAACAAGTCAGCAGAGGAGGCATCCAGAGAAGATAGGATTGCAGGTGAACATAGAGAAAGCAGAGGTGATGAAGATTCCTGGCCAACAGGAACAGAGACAACAACAGATAACCATCAGCATAGATGGGAGAAAACTGAAAGTAGCAACCTCCTTCACCTACCTGGGAAGCATCGTTTCAACTACAGGAGGGCGGAACTGACGAGGATATCAAAGCAAGAATCGGAAAAGCAAGACAGGCTTTCATTACTCTCAAATCTGTGTGGAGGTCAACAGCAATCAGCATCAAAAATAAGATCTGGATTTTCAACTCCAATGTGAAGTCAGTGCTACTATACGGATCAGAGACTTGGTGGCACGTCACGAGGTCCACTTCGAACAAACCATAGACTTTCATCAACAGCTGTCTTCGCTCAATACTCAAGATCAGATAGCCGGCCAGAAAAGATCAGCAACAGGGAGGGATCTCTGGGAGCGAACCAACTCAGTAGGAACCGACTGTGAAACGAATAGGCAGGAAGAAATGGAGATGGATTGGCCATACACTGAGGAAACCATCAAGTGACATCACTAGACAAGCCCTCGTGTGGAACCCGAACGGGAAGCGGCGAGTTGGTGGTCAGTGCGAGGGTGACTTGGAGGAGGTCATATGAAGGGGAGATAAAAGCATGTGGGCAGACGTGGATCCAGGTGAAAACGTTGGCAGAGAACCTAAGGCAAAGGAAACGCGTGGCTGAAGCGGAGGAGGCATCCAGAGAAGATAGGATTGCAGGTGAACATAGAGAAAGCAGAGGTGATGAAGATTTCTGGCCAACAGGAACAGCGACAACAACAGACAACAATCAGCGAGTATAGATGGGAGGAACCTGAATGAAGCAACCTCCTTCACCTACCTGGGAAGCATCGTTTCAACAACAGCTGGAACTGATGAGGATATCGAAGCAAGGCAAGCTTCCACTTCTCTCCAGTCTGCGTGAAGGTCAACAGCACTCAGCTGCGAGGTGACGTTTCTTTTCATTGTTGTACTACAGCGTACGATATTAGGAGCTGATTTTCTGCGGGAGATTGGTGGAATAATCGACACGCAAGCGAAGCTTGTGATCACGAAATACGGGCATATCAACAAGTATGAGACCAGCGAGATAGCAGCGGTGGAGCTATCGACGGTGTACAATCTGACAGAGTTAATTAATAAATAGGATCATCTGTTCACTGGAGATGGCGACCCATACGGTTATTGCGATAAGGTGAATCATGAAATTCCGTTAAGTGATCCGAAAGTAAGGTCATTTACAACGCGAAGAGTTCCATGTCATCTGGAAGGCGAAGTGGAGCGACAAGTGCAAGAGATGTTAAAAGATGGTATTATTGAGGAAGCTGATAGCCCATACAACTCTCCAGTGCTGTTAGTAAAAAAAGCGAATGGGAAGTATAGATTCTGTGTTGATTTTCGACAGTTAAACAGTATGACAGAGTTAAGACCGTGTGCCATGCCAACAGTGGTAGAAACTTTAGATCGCCTACAAGGTGCGAATGTGTTTTCGGTTCTCGATCTTCGCTCAGGATACTGGCAGATTCCGATAAAACAAAGTGATAGAGATAAGACGGCATTCATCGT